GGTGCAGAGCAGACCCCAGGGAAAGGCAGCTTTGTAAGAGTGCAACACTGTCCCTCTTATAATGAAATGAGTTGCCGCAGGTGCCACCATGGGCTCTGTACCCGGCTGAAGAAGCCAAGGCTTCCTGAACTTCCCTGGGAAGATGCCGGATGTTGTTAGCAGCTCCGGAAGGAGCATCCATCCCCCACCGTTGGCCTCTGCTGGGGTGGATCGTTCCACAGACATTTAGAATGGCGAGGAGAGGCGCCCTAATGCTATGGGAAGTCAGGATTTACTGTGTGATCTTGGACCTGTGTCCGCCCCTCTCTGGGCCTAGACACACAGCTGGTGGGGAGGGGAAGAGCCAACCCATAAAACAAAAGGAGTAGCCCTGCATGGGGTGTCTGGAGGCATGGGCTCTGGACCTCAGTTTCCTCATCCATACAATGGGAGGCCCCCTTCGCACTGCGCACATCCCCCCTCCCTGTCAGCCAGCCAGCAGCCCCGGCACTAACTCACCCTCTGTCCTACGGGTTCTCTCCAGACCCCTCCCCGCTTCGCCACACCCCAAGCTTAGATCCTCTTCACCTCCTGTCTGGACCTCTCTGTGCACCTCATGCTGACGGTTTAAATCCCTGGCAGTTTACCTCCTCCGAGCCTGCCAGTCCTCTGCCCTAACACCTTCTGGGACTGCCCTTTGCCTGCCAGATCAGGGCTGAGCTCCTGGCCTTGGCACTTGAGGCCTCCCCGGTCCGGCCTCAGCTTGCGGTCCTCTCTGTCCCTGCCTTTCCAGCCTATTCTCTCCTGCACCATGTGCCCCAAACTCCAGCCATCTTGGCCCCCTTGGAACTTGTAGGCACTTAGGGAGTTTGGAAAATAATAACAAGATAGTACCTTTTCCAGGGCATGTTATATGTCAAGCACCGTGCCAAGAGCTTTATATGCATTATATCACTTAATTCTCACAGTCACCCTGCAAAGCAGCCATGAGAAAACTGAGCCTTAGAGGTTAAACAATTTACCAAAAGTCACACATCTAACAGGCGGTGGCTCTAGACTTTAGAAGCAGGCTGCCCCAGTCTCAACCCCCATGCTACCTGACTTGGCTGCATTCTGCTTGCAGGAGCCATCCCTGCTATGCCTGGCTCCAACCCCAGTGTGCAGGCGGCTGCAGGGCAGAGTGGCTGAGAATGCCATTCACCCAGTGGGCACTGGCCGAGCCCACTATGTGGCTGGGCTGGGTGCGGTACAAGGGACACAGCCAGGGACATGGAAGGAATACAGCTTACAGCCAAGACAGAAGTCAGGGCCCGCATGGGAGCAGCACATGCTGGGATGCCAGGGGCGCCAGGGCCGCCAGGGCCACCCACAGTGAGGGTATCATGGCAGAGCTGGGACAGACTGAAGAGATCGCCAAACCGACCCATCACACAGATGGGGCAACTGAGGCTCAGAGAGCAGCAGTTGTCCCAGGGCCAGGAAAGCAGGCTGACTTCCCCTTGACTCAAGTTGAAAGTGTGTCAGGGTAGCTCTGTGATGCCCCAGGCCACGCTGGCCCCAAGGTGGGGCAAGGAGAAGGGAAGCCCCTGGCCAGCCAAGAGCTTCACGGGGGAGGCAGGGGCTGTGCCCCAAAACATCGGGGCTGATGGTGACAATGAGCACGGGTTATTTCCATGGCAACAAGTTTCGATGGCTCACTGCTGAGTACCCGCCATGCTCCGTCGTCCCACTTTATTGTCACTACCTTTTCTATTTCCCCATTTGGCAGACAGGGAGACTGAGATTCAGAGAGGGACAGAAACTTATTCAAAGCCACACAGCAGGTGTGTGGATGGAAGGAATCAGAGGCTCAAACGGGGGCAGATGGGAGTGGTAGCAACCAAGGGGCTCCAATGGGGAAGAGATAACAGGGAGAGCTTCTTAGTGTATGCGGGCTGTCAGCACGGACGGGCGGTCTCTCTGAGGACCCCAGTCTGAAGGAGCACTGGACAGGGAATCGGAAGTCTCCGCATCTGGTCCAGCTCTGCCCCACCCTGCAGGTTGCTCTCGGCAGGCCGCCTCCATTCTCTGGGCCTCCGTCTCCCCGCCTGCAAAAGGAACTCACTTAGTGACAAGGGTCCACAAGGATCCTTTTGTGATTCTGATGGAAGCCCTGGACACTCACGTGACACCTAGCAGATGCAGATGAGCATCTAAACCCAGGCGCCGCCAGGCCTGGTCCACGAGGTCCGTTCGCAGACCCTGCGCTGAGACGCCCCGGGCGGGGTGGTCATCACACTCCCCTCTGCCCTGACATCATCTAGGAGAGGCAACTGGATGTGGCCGAGTCTCCGACCGCTCTGAGGACAGATGCCCAGGGACACTGTGTCACCCTGATTCTCCACCAGGGCTACACACACAGCACATGCCCTGGGGTGGCCCAGGCCGGACACAACTGTCACCCTCCTGCCATAGTCCAGGGCCCGAGGTGCCCATGCTCACACCTGTGTGGCCACTGGTTGCCAAGGCAATGGAGAGCCACGACGTTTATGCAAAGTACATGGGGTGGGGGCAGCATGGAAATGGGGGGCCCCGGAGAAGCTGCCCATTTGCCTGGCATCTGCTCCCCTGGGGCGCTCACGGGGAATTGGCTAGAGGGGCTGCCCTGAACTTCCTTCCCCCACTCCCATGGGGCTGGGGCCGGCAGGGCCCAAGAAAGGCTTGACGCCAGGGACTGGGGCAGCATCAGCTCCTCTTCTCCGCCCCACACCCATCTTGCCTGTTCCTTTCCTGCCATACTCCCTCCCCCAGGACAAAACGGGGCAGCTAGAAACCAGCTCCCATCTGGCCTAGAGTGGGCAGGCAGGCCCTCCCCGAAGAAGGTCTGGGCGATGGGCCCCCTGAGCCAGCCGACTTGGTTTGGAAACACTTGGGAGGAGGGTCACAGGGGAGGCCTCTGAGCCCCTTCTCAGGGGGCCCAGCCCCATCAGTCACCCCTGGGAGAGCTTAGGCCTCCAAAGTGGAGTGGTCCCTGGGGTCAAGCCTTTCTTGGGCCCTCCCGGGTCAGCTGAGGCCTAAAGGAGAAACTGCTGCGGTCAAGAAACCCACTTGAACCCACGGAGCCACTGAAGCCTCCTCACCAAGCTCAGCTGGGTGACCTCAAGCAGGCTGCATCTCAACCAGAAAAAGATCTGGAGGTTCCAAGTGACCACAAGCTCAGTAAGAGCCAAGGGAAGGAGGTGGCCTTTATGGAGCCTCTACAATGCTTTCGAACATTATTGCCTTCGCCCAGCGCCGCCCTGGGAAGGATTTTTATCCCCATTGTACAGATGAGAAAACCAAGGCTCAGGAGCCCGAGTGCCTTCTGTGGAAGAACTAACGAGGCCAGAGGTGGAATGGCCAGCCCAGGGTCACTCAGCTAGTTAGCAGGAGGGTCAGGGTTGAACCCAGGTCTATGGACTTCACAGCTCACACTCCTCCCACCTGCTCCATTGGGTCCCTGACTTCCAGCTGTTCCTCCGCCATTGTCATTTTATCTCCCCGCACCTGGCACTTCTGCTTCCATTTAACCAGGGCAGATAGTGGGTCAAAACCATTGCTCACTGTTTCCTCTGCCATCCCTTGTTCCCCAGACTTGGGGCTGGTGGCTCCCGAGAGTCCAATACGCGCCCAGGTGCCAAGGCCTCTTTGCATGGTCACCACATTAAGTCCCCGTGTCCATGGTGGCCCAAGGAGCCTCTTCATTTCCCTGCTGTGGCCGGGGGCCCAGCTGCAGGTCTGGGCCTGGAGCATGGACCATTTGCCTGTGGCCGGACATCCCTGCCACCGCTGTCCCACGGGCTGCCAGTCGGGCGTACACCCTAAGGAAATGAGGGGCCACCTGGGCCGGCGCCTGGCCGACAGGCTGACTCGGCTCTCCTGGGGGTCTGGAGGAAGCAGCAGGGTGCAGACCCACCCTCGTCATGAAGTCACGCCGTTTTCCTGAATTCACCCACCACATGTTCATCCTCACAACTCCTGCCTGGTCTCCGCCTGGAGGCCAGTGTTGTAAACGGAGCCACCAGTACTTGAACGCAGGTTGTGCCAGGCTCCAGGCTCAGGGCATTAGACGTCACATCTTCGGATACTCACAGCAGCCCCAAAGGTGCATCCTGTTACTCCCACTTTACAGATGAGGAGACTGAGGCACAGGTGGTTGAAGTAATAGTACACCTAGGCGCTCCTTGCCTGGTAAGGTCAACGTCAAGGCTGTATTGAGACTAGGCAGATAAAGCACTTAGCCAGTGATCAGCCAGCCAGCTCTGCTACTGTTTCAATGTGGCCTCGAGCACGTCGTTCCATTCATGCAAAAACATCAGTCGGCTCTACATATCCGACTATAAAATGCAATCACCATCCTTCCCTTCCAGAAGCTCCAGCCCGGGCACTGGGTGCTGCCCATTGTTACAAGCTCCTTCTTGCACAAATCAGGCAGGGCAGGGGCTTTGCCAAGGGCAAAATCTCCATCCCCCCTCGTGTATATCTGAGATCCTCCACCCGACAGCCCCCATTGACAGACCCTGGGACAGGGGGTGTTGATGTGGCTCAGGAGCGGCTCCTTTTCATTATCTGTGAGTGGGGACAGGCCAGGACACACGTGTTCCCCCTCCAAGTCAGCTGGCCCAGGTGGGGCTGGGCCCACAGATGCTGGGCTCAGGCTAACCGGCCACAGTCGCTCCCCTCCCGTCGTCTGGCAGCTGGGCGTGGTGAGGCAGTCGGTGCATGTGTGAGCAGCTGGGTGGAGAGCGGAGGGGTTTTGGAACCAGGCAGACCTGGGTTTCCAGGCCAGTGATGCCACACTCTTGGCACGTCCTCTCACCTTCCTGCACTGTCCTCAGGTGCAAAATGGCGGCACAGCAGCACTTACCTACGGCCGCCGAGAGAGAAGCATGCACAGGCCTCAGCACGTGCATTCTCGGGGTTCTCCAGATAAACAGAACCCATAGCAGGCACATAGAGACAGACAGAGAGAAATTTATTGCAAGAATTGGCTCACAATGGGGGTTGGTAACCCGGGAAGAGCTGTGGTTGAGTCTAAAGGCAAACTGCTGGCAGAATTCCTCCTTGCTCGGGACAGGGGGGTGGGTGGGAGGGGGTCAGCCTTTGTTCCGTTAAGGCCTTTGACTGATTGGATGAGGTCCACCCACAGTATGGAGGGTAATCTTGCTTTACTGGAAGTCCACTGATTTAAATGCTAATCTCATTCAAAAACACCTTCATGGAAACACCCAGAATAAGGTCTGACTAAAATATCCAGGCACGTAAACTTAACGATCATAGCACACAATAGGGGTTGTTATAACAAGGGGAAAATGGGTAACTGTCAAATCATTGATTCTGTGCCTGGCACTGTTCTATACACCTACATGAATCAATTTACTTAATTCTCATGACCACCTGTGTGTGTGTGTGCGCACGCGTGTGTGTGATTATTCCCATCTTGCAGAGAGATGAAGAGACTGAAGGTCCAAGAGGTTGCACAACTTTGGGGAGCTGGGATCTGAACCCGGTCCATCAGGTTCCAGAGTCCCCGCCACCTGCCGCAGGTATCCCCATGCGTCAGTGCCGGCCCTCCTGCTGTCACACTGAGGGCACCATGCCGCTGACACCTATGACACACTGGCAATGCCATCAGACTTAGAAGCTGACCAGCCCCCACAAGCCCCACCAGAAAGACCCCCAACTTGATGAAGTAACAGGTATTTTATTGGGTGACATCAGGACAAACCCCATTGCCACTTCACAGTGCAGAGCCAGCAGGACCACAACGTTTCCAGCCCACCCACCCCGGGCACCTGAGCGGGCACTGTGGGAAACAGCGCAGAAGCCGGAAGGAAGCAGGACCCACACCCTATCCCGGCGCTATTGGCACTCACCCTGACCGATGGCCACAGTGTGAGATCATGGCACTTGGGGAATGGCCACACCAACCCCATGAGGACCCCCTGCCAGCTGTCCTTGAGGAGGGCCCTGCACTTTTAGGGTTCCCTAAAAACTGCCGTCCAAAGTCACTCTTTATAGATGGCTGGCCGCCCAGAATCCAACCTATCCGAGAGAGTCCACTGATTGGCTACTTCAAACAAAGGACAGGTCACCAAGGGCCAGTCTACACAGAGCCACTAGCATGCAAAGGGAGGAAGGCTCTATGGGCAATCCTCGGCCCTGGCAGGACGGGGACCCAAGAGTGGGTCTCAGGGGCTGGGGAGATGGTGGGAGCCCCCTCTCCCGAGCCTGTTCCGCCACAGCCAGTGGGAACCGCGCCCCGGCAGGAGGCCCCAGGCCAGCATGGGCTCTGGGAGTGGCCACCCGCAGGCAGGACTAGAGGGCTAAGGGAAAGCTGGCACAGCAGGAAGGTCCACCCAATTTCCAAAATCACAGCCCCAACAGGAAGGACCGATCCCACACCTTGGCAGGTGGCCTCCAGCGGCCCCCAGGCTCGCTGCATGGAGTCAGCCAGGAACCACGTGGGCATGAGGACGCACAGGAGAAAGGCACATGGGCATCTAAGGCTGACGGTCAGGCACAGGTACCCACTGGCTCAGGTGGGTCTGGGTAGCGAGCTGGCATGAAAGGTGGGTGGCCCAGACCACAGAGGGCCAGGTCAGCCGGTGCCCACACCCTGCAGACCACGCTGGTCACACCGAAGCCCGCAGGCCTGGGAAGCCAGGGCCCAGGCTGTGAGCCTCTGTGGGCAATGAGGCCTGCCGCCGGGGCACGGAGCTGCCTCCTTTTCCCCAAAGGGTCGGGAGCTGCCTCCCATCATTTCCCAAGGCCATAAACCACTGTGCCACTATGTGGAAAAAAAGCAGAAAGGACAGAGGGAGAACCAGCTGGCACCAAGGTCGCACCTACGATGTGTAATTTCTAGGACACCCCGATGGGATGAGGGGCAGCAGGCTTGTTCCTCCCCAGGGATCTCAAACCAGAGCTGCAGCACCTGACCCCAAGATGGGGGACAGACCAGGGTATGGGCCAGCAGGGGGTAAGGGGCCAGCCCTTGTCTCTAGAGTGGGGGCCATCCCACAGGGAGGAGTGGGGAAAGGCTCAGGGGGCCAGTGCACTGAGGTTAGTCGCCTGGACAGACAGACAGACAGGTGGACAGCGAAGGCTCCACGTGGGCTCACTGCATGTACGAGTAGCGCCAATCCCCCAGAGGCTTGTGAGTCTCTTTGATGACCTGTGGCGACGTCCAGCGCAGGACGTAGTGGGGTCCCCCTGGCTTGTCATTGGTGCCTGTGGAAAAGACAGCTCTGTTTTCTTCTGGAAAGATACAACAGCTCGGGGCAGAAGAGAAAAGGGGTGGGGAGGGGTGGACGAAGAAAATGGGATACCAGCATGGGCTGTCACCAAAGTAAAACAAAATGTTTCACAGGGGCCAGGGTTTCCTAAGCACATATGAGAGCGGCACCCTTCGCAGGATGTCAGGTGAGGCAGGAGCTATGAGTGGACAGGACATCGACGCTCCCGGGGTCCATGCATCCCACCTGCCACAGGTATCTCGGAGGCAGGGGAGCACTGCAGAGAGGACACTTGCTCTGCCGCTAGGCTTCTGGGACCCTGGAAAGTCTCTATCCCCATCCAAGCCTCAGTTTCCCCATCTGTAAATAGGAGGGAACTGGGCTAGAACAGCCTGGGGCATGGTGGTCTATGCTGTGTGTGCTGGATTCAAAAACCAATGCCACCACTTTCTAGCCATGTGCCCTTGAACAAGGTGCTTCACTCCCCTGTGCCTTAGTTTCCTCCTTGTAAAATGGGGAGAAGGTTGTTGAAAGGACTTGGGGGGAGCGCGGTGCCCGTCCCACGTTGCTCAGGGAAGGACACTGTTCCCATTACTCTTGACACCCTGGAATGGAAGACTCTTCAGTCTCCTGCCAGGAACTTCGCTCCCCTCTGGAAACGAGGACCCACTCACCGGAGGCTCGGGCCCCCCCGAAGGGCTGCTGGCCCACCACCGAGCCAGTGGACTTGTCGTTGATGTAGAAGTTGCCGGCAGTATTCCTCAGCATCTCTGTGGCCTCCCGGACAATGTCCCTATGAGGCAGGGCAGGGAGCTCAGCCACTGGTGCAGCCCCAGGTCCAACCTCCACCACCACCCGGGTTCAGGCTGGCTACCCAGGTGGGCGCCAGGCCCCCCCTGGAACAGTGACATGGGCCAGCCTCCAGCTGCGGGCCTCTGGGCCGGTTACTTAGGGTCTCTGAGCGTCAGCTTCCTCTTCTGGCAAGGGGATCAGAACGTCCCCCTGCAGGGCTCCTGCAAGGACTGAGGATGTGGGTCAGGCGGCACACGCACACAAGGGAGTGGCCCCTCCCAGTCCCACTGTCCTGCCCCTCAGCTGGGGAACCCCTGAGCACCCACCCTGACCCTGAGGTTCGTTCCCCCCTCCACTCTCTCTAGAGGTAGACAAGGGTGGCAAGTGAGCCATGGAGGAAGGAAAAAGCCAATCATGGATGACTATCATGGCACCTGGTTAGAACCCTGCCTCTGCAAGATGAGCAGGGTGCCCCTGGCCTGGGCCTGGGTCCCACTCTGCAGCATGAGGCGATGCTCTCGTTCAGCGGGACCCCATCAGATTGGAGGAGCTGATCAGAAGTGCCCATTCCCAGCCCCACCCCAGAGATCCAGGTTTAACAGTGGGGCTGCAGAGCCGGTACTTGAAAGGACAGCCCGGCTGCCTCCGTGTACCTGTGCTGGGAGGGCCTGCCTGCCAGCCAAGGCTGAGGTGAGGAGAGTGGTGAGAAAGCAAGAGCAGGTTCTAGGATCCATGATCTGGTGTCCTGTCCAGCATGTGAACAGGACACCAGGCCTAGAATGAGAAGGGCTGCAGCTACTCACTTATCCTGGGCGAACACTGCCCCCGTGAGGCCGTAGCTGGTAGTGCTATCAACCAGCTGCAACGTCTCCTTGTACTTGTCATCTGGGTAGATGTACACAGTCAGCACAGGCCCGAAGATCTCCTGGGAGAGAAGCTCTAAGGTCAGCCCCAGCACCCTGAGGCCTCCCAGCCTGCCCTGGCCTCTGCCTCTGTTCTCAGTTCCAGGTCCCCAGGCCTCAGCCCGCCCCTCAGCCCCTGCGAGAAGGGCCAAGCGCCGTCTCCTGCTGCTAGATCCCTTCAGGGGGCTGCCCCGTGCCCAGCTCCTGCCCTGCCCACCTCACCCCAACCTGGGAAAAGATCCAAGGAACCTTTCTGCCCCACCGCCAGCCAAGCCCACACCCACAGATCTACGGGAGACTTCCGGCTGCAGCTGGTCCAGGAGCTGACCAAAGTTATCACTGTCCCTGCTGCCTCCACGGTGCCTCGACCTCTCGCAGCCTCAGCCTCTCATACATAAAACGGGACTGATAATACCCCCTCAGCTCAATGGATTGCCAGCTGTGGCCGGCCTGCAGCCGAGCCTGTGAGCGCCAGTGGTTAGGGTCACTGCGGAGGTCGTGGCAGTGGAAGTGCTGTGATGCTGGACAGGGTCAGCAGTGTCAGGACACAGCACTAGATTTGGGGTCAGAGGGCCTGAGCCCAAAGCCTGGCCCTGCTCTCACTGGGTGGTAGACATTTGCTTTCTAGGGCCTCGCTTCCCTCATCTGAGAAATCGGACACCCCGGGAGGAAAACCATGAGCAAGGGCCCCAAGCGTGCGCGGGGCTGAGCGAGCGGCTGTCCTGCCCCGTGTCCCTGGCCACCTGCCCATTCACCTCCTTCATGATGGGGTCCTGTGGGTCCTTGCTCTCGACAATGCAGGGCTCCACAAAGTAGCCCACGGAGTCGTCACACGAGCCCCCGGCCAGGACGGTGAGGCCGGGCGAGGAGCGGGCGTGCTCTAGCCACTTCTTGATGCGGCCGAAGGACTGCGGAGGGCGGGAAAGCGGGGGTCCAGGACCGGCTGGGGGGCCCCCAGCGGCAGCCCTGCAACACACTCGCCCCACGACACCTGCTCCTGAAAGACCTGAGCTCTGAGCGGGGGCGGGAGAGCCCCAGGGGTCTGCGTGAGCCCCGCAGAGATGAGGGAAGGCATGCATGCTCCCGTGCGCGGGCCAGAATGGTGGGCGTGCTCACAGCAACATGACAAAAACATGCAAGTGACATAAATGGATATATGGGCCTGTGCATAGCCATGTGTCTTTGTTTAAGCATGAAGACGTACAGGATGAACAACAGATTTACAGCTGTGTGTATACGTAAAGTTTATTCTTGCATTATTCAGTACCACAATGCTTAGTTGTATTACAGCGATAAACCTCCCTTTGTCCACCCTTGTACATGCCTGCGTCCCATGCACATGTGTGCATGCACACCTACACACGTGCCTCTGTACATGCATGCATGTGCATGCACATGTACATGCATGCTTCTGCACGCACACATGCAGGTGGGCTTGTTCATGCAGGGAAAGGTGTGTGTGCACGTGGAAAGACCAACACTCATGCCTACACATGACTGTGTTCATGAATGTGTGTATACATGTGTACATGAGTTTAGGTTTATGCGCACAGATGTGTGGGCCTATCTGCATCTGTGTGTATCAACAGGTGCACTTAAAGGGTGTGTAGGAGGCGAGTTCTCTGGTTGGATGATCCTGCCCTTAGCGAAGCTGGAGGCAGGGGGGCAATCTGGCTGCTCCCCAGAAGCAGTGGGGCTGGGTTGTCCCCTAGTCTGGTCCCCCCATGTCTTTTCCTCCCTTTCTACCCAGTCCAAGGCTCGGCTCCCCAGGAACAACTGGATTCTAGCCCATACCTTGGCATCAATCACTGCGGAGAAGAAGGTCCCAAAATCTTCCACAGGCTGAAGGCAGGGGAGACAGGGGAAGGGATGGAGTTGTCACAGGCCCCAGACAAAGGGAGCCCCCTCCCGCACACCCCAGCCCCACCCACGCAGGAGCCCCCAGCCCCATCAGCTGCCCATGGGCCGAGGGCCAAGGCAGGAGGAAGGCACCGCTTACGTCGCCCACTTTGATCCTGCTGTGCTCCTCAAGCAGCCGCTGTTTGATCTGTGGCCAGAGCGAGTGGGGCACGTAGAGACGGGAGCAGGCGGAGCACTTCTGGCCCCCATATTCAAAGGCTGAGCGCAGCGTGCCACTCACCACGCTGTCCACGTCGGCGGAGCGGTGCACGAAGTGGAAGTTCTTCCCGCCGCACTCTACAGGGGCCAGGGTGGGGGAAGGAAGGAAGGAGTGGGCTCCTCTGGCCAGCCCAGGGGCCCACCACGCTGCCTGCACCTGTCCCCGGGGCCCTGTGATCAGCCCCCAGTTCTGGGCAGATGAGGGCAGGAGACGCACGGGGTTAGAGCTGGGCAACATCCCAGAAACCAATGTGCCAGGCTACGCTCCTACTCTATGGGTGAAAAACTGACGCCCAAGGGTGGATGGCGTCAGAGGTCAGCAGGACCAAACCCCATTACACAGAGGGAAACGTGGAGGCCAGGGGCGGGGTGCTGCCCAATATAATGGCAGAGGAAGGGCCACTCCACTCCCAGAAGTGGGCACAGCTTTCCCCTGCCCCCCCCCATCCAGTGAGAGGAGAGGGGGTCCACTCTTGTCAACTGCCAGAGCTCTGCCTTCACTACCCATGGTACTTAATTTGCTGAACGACTAATGAATGAACAAAGGAATAAAAGATGCACATTCTGATGCACAGGTGCTCTCCACAACCCCTGGGACCTGCCAGAGCTGCGGCTCTGCGCCTGAGGCCCCCCCCAGGTCTCAGCTCCTGCATGGCCACCCCGCCTACGGCTGTGCCACCTTCTCCTCTTTCATGGCAGCCAGGGAAGGGAGGGGTCCCTGGAGCCACAGGGGAGGGGGCAGGGAGAGGGGCCCTTACCTCCAGCCAGGCGTGGGAAGGTCCGAAAGCGATCCAGGTTCTGGGCTACCTGCTTCCATAGGTGTTTAAAGGTACTGAAATGAGGGGACAGGGTGGGGATTAGGAAACCGGCTCGGCAGCTCAGGTCCCTGAGAGGGTAAGGGTCCTGGGGGAAGGGCACAGGACCTGCCAGGAAAGGGGCCGGAATCCCGAGGGAGGAAGGCTGGGCTCAGCAGCCTAGTAGGCAGTGAGCAGGGGTCACAGCAGAGGAGGTGGGGGACCCAGCAGGTGGTGGCCGCTGGAAATGGGCAGCATCGCAGACTTATGGGGAGGGAGCAAGGGGAACCTTGGTGGCAAGACAGTGTGGAGAAGGCTGGGGTGGGTACTGGGTTCGCGCTCTGACTCAGACACCTATGGCTGTGTGATCTTCCACTCATTACTTAACCTCTCTGAGCTCAAATTCTGCACCTCATCTGGGAACTGGAAGCGACAATCCCACTGGGTAGGGCTGCTCTGTGATTCGCTCTAATGAGAGTCAAGTGCTTAGGACAGTGCCGGGCACACTGCAGGGGCCAGACGGAGGACAGATGCTGTCACTGTCTGTGAGTGGTGCCCATAGTCCAGCACCCAGGCGCCAGAGGCCAACCTGAGGGGGGTCCAGAGAGGGAGGCCAGGCCCCCGCCTCCTCCCTGGGCTCCAAGTGTGACCAACCTCAGCACCACAAAACAATAAAAATGCTAATCACCAGGGAGCCAGCGACACAGTAGCTAATACTAATTTATGACTTTCCCACCTTTACGCCCGACGCTCAGCAGAGCATGGCAAATGGGGGCCAGGCCTGCTCCGCCCGCTAATAGGCAGGGACCCGTGGGGCCCGCGACAGGCAGGGCGGGCCTTTTGGAAAATGGCCCTCCTCAGCAATTCTAATGCCGCCATCACCTCCCGGCAAACCTCGGAGGGAAGGGGGGGGTGGGGAGCCTGAAGCCAGCAGAGAAAAGCCACTGCCAGTGTGTCCCGGTGACATTGGGAAGGACCCCAGTGCTGACCGCGACGTCCACTCAGATGACCCACAGGCCCCTGAAACTCAAAGCAACCAACTTCTGAGCCACTTGTGCCCTAACCCTCCCACTGCTGGGCCTTCCGGTGCCCACCCTGTGAACGGTGCCCGTCCTGCCCCAAGCCTGGACGTTCCCACCGACCCCAGAGAGATGATCGAATCTCCCTACTTTCTCACGTGAATTGGCACACTTTTCTCCGTTCCCACTGTCTCTTCACGGGTTCAGGCCCCATCATCCCTGCCCAATGTGGAGAGGCTCCTGCCAGCCTCCCACTTCCGGCCACGACACCACGTGTACAGAGCAGGCAGAGCTGCCGTCTAGGACAGAGGCTGCAGACACAGCGCCCAGAGGGGTAGGGGCGGGGGCGGTGCCCGAGGCTGACCAGGCAGGCAGGGACCCACACGTTGGGGGAGCTGGGGCACCCGCCCACCTCTGGCCAGTGGTACCGAGTAGAAAGCCAGGCCCGGGGGACCAGAACACCTAGGCTGTCAAAAGAAGCCATCGTGTAGATTTTGCCAGGAAACTATCAGAGTTGTACAAGGTTGGCTCATCTCTATTATGAGTCAAAGAAAACAGGGCCACTGGCCAGGGCCCCCTGAAGAGCCACTATTTGTAATTTCTGCTTGAACCCTGACTAAGCTACTCCCCCTCCCCTCCCCCACGAAACCTTCACTGTCTCCCACCATCTTCAGAATAAAGTCCAGACACCTGTTAAGCTCACGGGGCCTTAGAATCATGACTAAAATCCCTGAGAGCAGGGCCTTGTCCTCTTCACGAGTTCACTGCTGAGACTCAGCACGAGCAGAATCCAGCTGAGCAGGTGGACGAGTGAGAGGTCATGAGCCAACAATGTCCCACTCCCACCCTCTCATCCCCTGCCCCCTACTCCACATTCCAGCCACGTGGGACCACCACCGCCTCCCAGAGCACAAGAGCTTTAGCACTAATCCTCTGCATGTGCTACTCCCCCTCTGCCAACACTCCCCTCACCTCCCTGCCCTTTGCCTGGCCAGCTCCTCAGCTTAGGTGCCACCTCCTCCAAGAAGCCGTCCTGACTCTCCTCCAATTTATTCCAAGCTCCCTTGTGCCCTATCCAGTGACACAGACGGCATCAAAATCAGTACTGCCAAACACCTGTAGGCTGCTTCCAGCCTGCAAAGCTCTTTCCTGTTCGTTAACTAGTTCACAACCCCCCACGGTTACTCTGCAAGGAAGGGATCATCGGTCCTGCTATACAGGTGAGGAGACAGAGGCTCAACGAAGTGAAGTGGCTCACCCACAGCCACACGGCAAGTGAGGGAGCAAGGTCAGTGCCAGGCCCTGGGTTCACAGCCCCAGCTCCTGGGCAGAGGTGAAAAGCTGGTGTCCTGGTGAACGTCCCTCAAGCCTGTGCCCCAGCCTCCCCCAGGGACTTACGGCACGCTGCCTGTGAAGTTGATGCCGCACAGGTGCTCCGAGCTGGTAACCGTGTCCCCAAAGGCGGGCCCGTCAGCTGGCACAAACTGGATGATGTTGGGCGGCAGGCCAGCCTCCCGGAGGATGCGGTAGACGGCATAGCTGGCCAGCATGGCAGTGTCGCTGGGCTTCCAGAGGACCACATTGCCCTGCCCAGGAGACACGGAGATGACTCAGAAGGCCAGGGACCCCAGCCCGGACTCCACCCCGCCCCGAAGTGTGGTCATCCCTCACCTGGCACCACCAGGCCCCGGTGCAGGTCATGATGTCCCCCACCCGACCCCACACCTCCAGGGGGCAGGCACTGTGCTTTAAAAGCCCTTGACGGGCAGCTCTGCTCTGCCGTTTTCTGGTGGCTGGGCGCCCCCTGGGGGTGGCAGTGCTGCCTGCATGTGTCCTGACGAGGGCACATGGGCGCCGGGGCGTGCGCAGAGGCATGAGTGCCCCCAGGTGGCCCGGCCACCCTGCGTGGGGCCCAGGCTCCCTCTTCCTGCGACTCCTCAAGCCACCGGCCCTCGGAAGGCAGGGCCACGGCTGCCCCCTCAGATCAGAAGCTCACGAGGGCGGCGGTCGTCTTCACCCTGACAATGGCAACGCGGCCCAGTGACTTCAAAACTAAGCCTGAATCCTCATCTGTCCCGTCAGTCACTAGCTGTGTGACCGTGTGACCCTGATGAACAAGTCACCAGGCACAGAGCAAGCATTCCAACATGAGCTGTAATTACCATCACCACTGGGGGGGATGGGGGATGGACACCTGTCAGAGTGCCCACAATAAAAAAATGTTTAAAGGGCATCGTCACCACAAACAGGCACCATACGCTCACCCGCACAGGGCCAGACCCGCCTGGCATTCGACGTGTCATGTGCCTGCTCTCGTTTGCTCCTCACCACCCTGTACTGCAGGCTTTCCTATAATCTCCACTTGGCAGATGAGGAAACTGCCTCAGAAGTGTGGGGCTTAACCCGGGTCGCCTGGAGCAGGGCAAACGGGAGTCCTAACCAACCTCTGACCCCAGAGCCTTTCCACAGCTCCACGCTGCCTCCACCCCCCGAGCCTCTCCCCACGACTAGGGCTGGGACCTCGGGGACTTGAGCGTGTCCTTTGGTCTGTTGAGACAGGACTGACGCTGAGCTCCCACCGCCCTTGCCGCTGCCCAGGTCTCACCATCAAGGCCGGCGCCCCCGCCAGGTTGCCGCCGATGGCCGTGAAGTTGAAAGGCGAGATGGCTGCCACAAAGCCCTGGGGACAGAGGAGGCAGTGAGGCCAGGCCCAAGGCTTCCGGCAGCCCCCGGCCGCCCGCCCGCCCGCCCACCCCTGCAGGTACCTCCAGCCCCCGGTACACCACTCTGTTGGTGCTGGGTGGCACGCTGATGGGCTGCTCCCCCTCCAGCTCCACAGCGAACTTGGCGTTGAATCGGAAGAAGTCGATCAGCTCGGCCGCAGCGTCGATCTCCGCCTGGATCACTGTCTTACCCTGCGAGGCGGGAGGGCCAGGGCTCAGCGGTGGCAGACGTGCCCTGTCAGCCCTCAGGTGGGACTCTGCCCACAGTGACATCATGTGCAGGGTGCTGGTGGCTCCTGCCCGGGAGGAGTATGTGCCCTCACTATGCGTGTTGGGCCAAGAACCAGGAAGCCTTGTGACTTAATATTTCCTTAGACTGTCTGTTCTTCCCAGTGGTGAAGGTGAACCACAGGGAAAGGGCAGCAAGGATGGGCCTTTCCCGGATCAGAACGGCCCCGCCCCTGCTCAGGACATGCAGCCAAGGAAGCCAAGCTAAGAGGCACTGCCCCCTACTCTGCATGGCCACCACACTTCCTACAAGTTCCCAAGTCTTCAGTCAAATTAAGAGGCACCTTCATCTGGTCTTCAAAGTGTGTGTCTCTTCCTGCCCAGGTGTGGCTCACCTGGGACACTCTGGAGCCTGACACCCACTCCAGGAGCTGCTGAGAAAGTCAGGAGACACTCGGCAGGTGCGGAGCTGTCATACCACGCCCGTGCAGTGGGCGTATACTCACTACAGGAGGGGCGCTGGGCTGCCCCGAACCCCCCGAGGCTGCTTCCTGAGAACCGTGAAACCAACCCATTCTCCCTCCTCTGCTCCTTTCTCAGCACTCTGGCTCAGAGGCATCACTCAAAAAACCTTTGTCAGGAGCTTCAACGACTCCAGGAAGACATGATGCAAGGCCCGGAAAGATGGAGAACATTAACACAATTACTGTTCCCAAAAAGTTTGTAAAGGGACAACAAACACATAGGAAGTGATTACACCCAATGCAGTCTGAGCTGTAACTGACAAATGAACTGCATTCAATAGGATGGGACTGATCCTTTTGGACAGAGAAGGTTCTGAAAGCTTCACAGAGGAGACGCTATCTGGGCTGGCCGCTGATAGGTATGAGTTCACAGGGCAGAGAAGAGAGCAAGCAACCTAGAAAAGGCACACAGGGCAGAGGCAGGGAGATGCGATGCCTGTGGTGTCCAGGAACCTCACTAGGTCCAGGCGGGCGCCATCATGGCACGACGGCCTGGCGGGAAGGGCAGAGCAGCTGGCAAGCTGGATGGGGCGGGAAGGTAGGGCCCTGGGGGGCTGGGCTCAGGGTCTGGGGCAGGACCCTCAGTGACAGAGCTTGGTGGTCTGTAAGCCTGGAGTGACCTGCGGAGGTGGCAGAAAAACTCGAGGTCTGCACGGGGCAACTGTCAGCCCAGGCAAAGCATGACGAAGGCCTGGCCTAGGGTGGGGACAGGGGAGGGGGAGGGATGTTTCCATGGTCAGACACATAGGCTTAGCACAGTGCACCTTGTCTAACATTTTATGTGTGACTGTTCCCTCTCCTAGGCCTTGTCCCTCAAGGACACCTCTGAGTCTCCAGCCAGCAACACAGGCCTTGGTACCCAGACATCAGCTGACATCAGCCCAAGCGGATGGGGTGCAACTGTCTCCCGCCCCAACTGTGGCCATGGGCACCTCACCTGCCCCACCATGGTCTTGGCAAGAACCTCTGCCCTGCGCGGCCCACTCAGCATGTCTGCAGCCTTCAGGAAGATCTGGGCCCGGTCTGCGACAGGCTTCAGGTCCCACTCTCTCCTGGCGGCCAGTGCAGCCTCGATGGCTTTGTTGAGCAGGGCCTAATGAGGAGGAAAAGGCTGGGTGCTTCTCCCCGTAGCAGGAAGGGTCCCAGGGGAAGGAGCAATGGGGGAGAGGTCTGAAGGCCACGCTCCACCCGGGGAACACCCCCGCTCCCTGGGCCATCAGTGTCCCCCATCCACAGCTGCAGACCCTGTGTCCCACTGCTAGCAAGGCCACGCCAGGCTCAGCACCTGTCCTGCTGCCGGTCTGGCGACATCTGACCTGCCAGCCAGGTCGGCACGCCAAGCGCTCGGCACTGAGTCCCTCAGCTGTTAAACCTGCTCTACTTTCTCCCGTGGTCCCATCTGGGCCTCACCTTATTCCTGGGGCCCGGGGCCCCCGAGCCCGCCCTCCAGAGCCACCAGTCCTTGCCAGCCCAGAGCCGCGGCCCGAGGCACACACTTGCTGTGGGCATCCCAGGTGTCAACTGCCCTCATGGCCACACAAAGTCAGCTCCTACACTCCCTGCCACGGGTCACCCCTCCCCTCTTGATGGCCCTCCATGATACCAATTCCCTGTCCGACTTTCCATTCATGATGTCTCCAGCTTTTCCAGACACAGCCCTCCAGAATCTACACCCACTCCTACCCCCCAACACACATCACGCCAGGGTCCCAGCAATTGACATGTCTGGGAATGTCCCAACCCTGACCAAGGAAGCTCCCACTTGGCTCAAGTTAACCACTGCATGGCTGGCCCAGTTAAAGACACCTGCCCAGGGACGCCCTCAGTCCCAACTGCACCCCCATGCCCACAGCCAGAGGGGAACCGTGTCTGACCCCACCTCTGTGTCAGCAGGACAAATCAAGGACAGCGCCCCTACCCCAAAGTCGCCAGGAACTCACCTTGTCTGCATAGCAGAACTTGGCCACCTTGTGTCCATGGTTAAAGGGCTGAAAGAAAACAAGAGGGAGGTCACTGGCCAGGGGGAGGTACCAGAACGGGGTGACGGGCTGGGGCTCAGAGCTGGCTTCTGGGTGACAGTCCTCAGCACAGTCACCCTCTCCCCTGCAAACCTCTGGGAGCCCGGCTCACACTGCTCTGCCCCTTGAGCATTACGGGGCACCTGCTGTTCTCTGAGTAAGACTCAGTTCCCGCTCCCGAAGGCTCCGGGTCCAGGAGAAGGGCACAGACCGCATGGCCTTTCAGGGAAAGCATGGACTTTGTGGTCAGATGGACATGGGTTCGAATCTCCATCTGCCTCGTACTACCTGCGGGGCCCATGTAAGCTGACCTCCCCTCTCCGAGTCTACCCACTGGGGGGATGGGGCCTTCCCGACTCATGGCATGGAGAGGAGGACCAAATGGGGCCACAGGCGGAAATTCTTCGGACCAGGTCTGGCACGAGGACGAGGCTCAGCGATGGGCACTGCCGCCATGGGTACCGGAAAGGATGCACCGGTGGATCGCGGCGCTCAGCATCCCTGCCACACCCCCAAGTCCCTAGGGGACAGAGCCATTCCCCTCACCGGAAAGGGACAGTTCTGACCCTGGTAGCGCTGGGTGCCAGCATGCGCGACAAAGCGGCAAGGAATTTCACTTCTTTCTTTACCAAAGGCTGGTAGTGTATTTTACACTGTGATCATCAACACTCTGCCACCTGTTAGTCTGCCAATGGACTGTTTGGGGCCTTCCTGTCTAACATGGCAGCCATAGGCATATGACACGCAAACTCAGTTCCTCGGCGGTACGACCATCATTTCATGGACTCAATAACCACATGTGGCTTGTGGCAGAGAGCACCTATATAGGACATATCCATCATCCAAACAGCAAGTTCTACTGGGCTGCCCATTCTAGGTTTTAGTAGAAAATGGCCCTTCCCCCTTCATTTAACACCGGGCACAATCACCTGTCTCCTGTCCATACCTGTGACTGACCTGTGACACTTAGGGGCCCTGAGAAGACAGCTAGGAGTCAGGCCCTTCAATTCAGCATGTCTGAATGGACGACAGATACCCCAAGTCAGCAATATGTCCCAGTGACACTGCTCCTGCCTGAACGCCCAGGCCCCAGTGATCACCATGTGGCCAGGTCAGCGAGGCAACATGAGAAATGAAAGTCAGAAGTGCCCACCCAGGGGTCACCAAAATCCCCATTACCTGGGAAAACCCCAGGTGCCACGGTGGCCCCAGAGACCTGGGGAGCGGCAGTTATGAAGACGCAACCCGGGGAGCCAGCGTGTGCTCCGACGGCTCCAGCTGTCGGGCCCTCTGGACGCTGCGTACAGCCGAGTCTCCAGGTCACCTGGGTGGGTGACCCCGGTCCCGGGCCATCTTGGGAGCCCTTAGAGTAGAGGCCCTGGGTCCTCACCCTTATTCCTGCCCAGGCCTGCCTAGGGGCCCATCGGACAGAGCCAGGACGTGCTTACCCCAACTGCAAAAGGGCCGCCCCCCCCCCCCTCCCCCTAATCACAGACCTGTGCATTTCTTGATGCCTCCAAGTGCGGGCCAGGTCCTGGCTCCATAAACTCCAAGCAGGTGGATTTCTTAGGCCAATGTCATCACGGGGCGTGGAGCCCAGCTGTCTCACCCTAGCCCACCGTTACCCCCGAAACCTCCCTGTGGAGAAATCCCTCAAGAACAACCGAAAATGCTGTGTGGATTCCTCGGGGTCTTTCTGGCCCATGGACAGGACTCAGTTACGGGCTGGGTACAGTGTGGCTGTCTGGCCAGTTGGTGAAGTCACGCAAGCCACACTGCACCCCTGTGAGAACCAAGGTGGGCCGGAAAAGTCTCCTGACGTCACAGTGAATAACTTCCAGTGGTTTAAAAGACGTAGTAATGCTAACGAATATGCTGCTTCTAACTCCTCTTTAGGAATCGTCAGGATGTGGCTGATTTCACCTGAATCAGAATCGGTGGACTGTGTCGTTCGGGAGAGCTGGTCTCCCATCCCTGTTCCATCTCACTGTGCACCCCAGGCCCGTCACTTAACATCTCTGAGCTTCTCCTGGAGGATCTATAAAACTGCCTGCTCATCCCACCTCTAAGGGGAGAGGCAAGGGCTGAAGGCGGAGCTTGTGCAGTGGGAAGGGCTTCACAAATGTGTTTCTGGATGGAACCTGGGTCCACCAGGCCACACCCTGGGTGCTTAGCTCAAATGAGCTCGTTGTCAGCTGCATCTGTGGTTCCCAAGCACAGACCGGGGCTTCAGCGGCTGCCCTTTCTTTGGAAGGATGGTCTTTAATTCTGACATTCAATCTCTGCTTCCTACAAGAGAGTGCTCAATGAGGCCTTTTCTCTAAAGCGCTGGTGAGACTGGTGCCAGGCATTGCTTGTAACTTCCCCCAGCAGGTGCGAAGCTGCACCTTGCACGACAGCCCCCAGGACTGCTTTTGGCCGTTCCACAGCGGCGCAGGGAATCCCCAAATCTGGGAGTGGACAGAAAGCCCTTTGGACGGAGAGATGCCACGTCACGTGCTCACGTGCCAAGACAGACAGAGCCCAGGTTTGGGGAGAGGCCGGGCCCTGCCCGCCTGCTGCACTTACCGACACCTGGTACCGCACGTCCGAGGTCCACACCTCCTCGTCCCCCACCACGCACGGGATGGCTTCTGTCCGGCCCTTCAGGTCCTTCAAGGCCTGAGGAGAGGACAGGATGTCAGACGGGCACGTCCTTCCCCCGCTCTCCCACCTAAATCCCAACGCGGAGTTTGCGGGTACAGATGCCCAGGCTGGAACAGAACCGGCAGGCAGCTGGGCCGGTCTGTGGCTGGAGAGCATGTGCTCCCCTCAGGGGACAGCAGGACTCAGCCCCTCGATTGTCACCTCCTGTCCTGCAGGAAGGTGAGGCCAGATTTGTCAGGTTTTCCCATTATGAAAGAAGATTTTTTAAAAACCTGCACCTGAAATTTACGTGGAATCTCACCATTTTTAAAATACTGGCAATTAATGGGAGAACATTTTGAAGCATAAAACACCTGCAAGCTTCTGACGCCTGGCTGGCACTGAGGCCCCCAAACGGTCCCAGTTACCCTCCTGCTGCTCCCAGCCCCTCCCACGCTCCAGACACACAGTCCTCCCCAGACCTCAGGATTCCTTGCAGGGCTGGGAGCAGGGCAGGAGCAGGGAATAGCCACAGGCACAGAGCAGCATCTGGGGGCTGCTGGGGGGTGACTGCTCCACCCACTAGCAGCCCCCCTTACCTTCTGCAATGCATCTCGCTCAGGGCTGCCCTGCGTGAAGGCCAGGATGGGCTCGTTGGCCACCTTCAGCGAGGCGGTGTGCTGCCACCGAAGCCTGGGTACAAAGACGGGAAAAGAGGCGACAGGTCAGCGGGGACCATGAGAGATCCAGCCCCTGTCTCCAGCAGGGCATCCTGGGATGGCCCAGGATCCTGAAATCCAGAACAACCATAGGACTGGCAGGGCGAGTCAGGCCTTGGGATGCAAAATCCATGTTCAAGTCCCAGGCCTGCTGCTGTGTATCCTTGGGCATGTTGACCTGCCTCCTCTGAGCCTGTTTCTCTATCTCAGAAGTGAGAATAATGATACAAACTCACAGGGCGGTTTGAAGTTTAAATCCACAGATGCAAAACCACTTCTAAGTGTTTGTACAGGGAGAAGGTTTATTTCCCTTCATTTCCCCACAGTGCAGCTTGATTCCAAAACAGACCCAGTCACTTTCTCTAAAGCTGAAGAGGCAGGACATCCCAGAGCTGGGTCTCATCAGGCCTGAACCAGCTGAGAGTTCCAGGCACAAAGAGCTGAACTCAGGGTGAGCAGCAAGTCCAAGCTATGGACCATGAACTTGGAGCAGTGCCCTGGGCTCAGTTCGCCAAGACAGGGAGGGCTGGTTGGGGGCTCAGCATGAGTCCTGGGTACTGAGTTTCAAGAACTCCTTGCTCTGGCATTGCCATTCAGTCTGGACCCTTAGGACCTCACTGATAGTGACCACCACCTCTAACGTGTCTGGGGGTCACAGGAGGTGAGGATATGTGGGTACAATTTTAGGGTCAGTCATTCCAGGGCTGGAGCCTCAGCTGCGGGGCTTCTCCTCCAGGCCTCAGTGTTCTCATCTGTAAATGAGGACATTAACGACAAAGGCCACCTAACACACAGAGCTTGTTACACTTCTTAGCGCCTCCCATCCACCACGGAGAGGCCCATCGGATGGGTCTCACCGGCAGCCCCTTTATAGATATAAGGTAATTTATTCCTAGAAGGAAAGTGACTAGTTCAAGACCAAGATGTGGAGAGACCTGCATCTGAATCCAGAAAACACCCAGATACCATCTCCTTCTGGTGTCGACACCTGCAGCCAGAGACCACCAGGATCACCCCTGCAGCTGGACCAGTGGGGCTCCTATTTGAAGCAGGGGGGAGGCTGCACACTGGGGGCAGGCCCACACTGAGCAAGGGGGGAGAGGTCTGGTACTTCAGGGGTGGCATGGTGACCTTGGTTTTGCCTACGCTTAGGTAAAACTAGGGTGCGGTCTTGCTGCGCCTCACTGCATCACGGCCTGAGAGAGACCTGCCTGCGGCCCAGGCTTGGTAAGGGGGCTTGTGCCCTGCAGGAGAACAAAGCGGCCGGGCTGTGACGCTGGGGACACTTTCTCCTTTCTCAGTGGGAAGAGCTTGGGGGGCTCAAAGGGCTGGCCTCGAAGGCCTGGAGGGAGGACACAGTAAGGGAGCCGTGAGGGCCAGTCCTTCATTCGTCTACCAGGTTGCTGACCACCTGCTACATCTCTGCCGCTGTTCCAGACCCTGAAGACACAGCACCGATAGAGACAGCAGGGCCTCTGGCTCCTCATCGCTGACCTCCAGTGGGGGATGCGGGCAAGAAATAAACCCTCCCTAGACAGAAGCGACCAGGAAAAGGGCAGGGCAGCCACATCCGCTGGGGTGGTCCGGAGGGCCTCTCTGAGGAGGCAAGCTTGGCGGAGGCCAGGAGCAGGTTTAAGAAGAGCTGGGAGAGGCAGGCCAGGCCCAGAAGAGCAGAAGGGGGCCCATGTGGTGGAGGGGGCAGCACTGAGTCACCCAAGATGCCCCAGGGCAAAGCAGCACTGGGACCTTCTTCCCCTCCCCAACTCGACCCAGGCCACACCCACCAGGACAAGGAAGCCAGTCGTAGCCTCAGGCCCTACCCTCCCCACCACTGGAAGCTCAGCCTCCCGGTAGCTGTGTGACCTTGAGCAAGTCACTGATCAGGGGTGCCTCCCATTTCTCAGGGTTACTTGGAGACCTGAAGAGATAATAATGCTAAGCCGCTGTAGACGTGCTTAATAAATTAAAATCCACCCCCTTCCTTCCGCCCCTTGCAGAAGGAAGAGTGGGGAGGCCAGCAAGAGGAGGGCGGGGTCTACCCCTAGGGCCATCTGGAAGGTTCCAGCAGCCCCTCTGAGCCTCGGGGACCAGCGCACCACCACCTGTCAGTACATGAGAATTGGCCGGGTCCTCTTTAAGCTAAGAAAGTGCCACTGAGCGTCAGCTGAGAAGGGGGGCTGGGCTGGAGCCAGGAGTTCCCCCCTCCACCCCGCCAAACCCCATTCCTGGGGGGCGGGAAAAGCATGGGCTCTGAAGCAGACATTCCCAGACCAAAACCCACACCTGCTCCGAGACCGCAGCACGTCCTTCTCACCCCTGCGGGCCTCTGCTCCCCAACCCCCGGTTCCCTGCAGGTCCCTGTGAGAACTACTGTAAAATCGCTTGCCTAGCCTCACTCCTCCTGCCCTTGGGCTTTTCTGTGAACAGTGAAGGCCTTCCAGAACGGTTACTCCACCATGCCAGGTTTCCAAAGGCCCACTGGTTGCCAGATACCCCCAAGGGTCAGGGGTTGGCCCAGGTGCTGGGCAAATCCTGCTGGAATCCACAGCACCGCATCCCACCCAAGGGCAAAAGCTGGAAATGTGGGGGTGACAGGCTCTCCCTTCCCTGTTCCCTCCCAGGCAGTGTCAGAACAGAGCTCCGCAGGCCTGCCCACCTCCCCCAGGGCAGAGGTCCACTGTGGGCCTCCGATCTCATACCCCGGGCTTTCTCCAGGCCTGGGAAGTCCAGGCCCTGGTACAGCTGTCAGTCAGTCTGAGTGTGGCCTAGGGAATAGGGACTAGTTCAAAGGTCAGAGTCAAGGGTTGGGGGAGGGGAGGGAGAGATCCAAGGAATCCTGTCAAATGTGGCTTTTTTTTTTCTTTTTTGGCTCCTGGGCCTTTTGGGATTAACAGGAACGCCCTTCCATTGGCTCACCTTTCATGGGCTCAGAAAAAGGCGTAGATGAATCACTTGCAAAACATGGGGCCTCTACAAGGATCGGCAAGGCCCTTCCAGGCAGGGCTGCATCACGCATTCACCGCACATTTACTCCACACCTCAGGGACTCAGCGCGAACACAGTGAGGTGGAAAAGGCTGGCACGTTTTCTCCCCAGGTTTCCTGAGCACCCACCGGGTGCCTGGCCCTGGGAGGCAGAGATGAACCCCACCCGCCTTTTCTCAGGGCAGCTCTCAGCCTTCCCACTTGAGGAAGGAGCCCGGGACAGAGTCCGAATTTGACTCAGATTCCTTAACAGCTTGGAGTGTCCCTTCTGCTCCCCCAGGGCCCTCACAGCCTGGGCAGGAGGCCTTAGCTGCCCCTCCCCACCCTGTACCAGGATCAGATCTGAAAAAGCCACATCAGAACACCCCTGCTTGACTGATGTCAGCGCGGGACAGAGCTGTGGACCGGCCGACGCAACCTCGGACATTTGCAGACGGGAAAGCCGTCGGGGGAGCTCAGTTCCCCTCCCGGGTTACCTGTGGTCTACACCCTGGTCCACAGCACCAACAGCTTTTGCCTGGATGACGGCAGTGGCCACTCCTGCTCCATGGCCACCAAGCTACTCTCCAAATCACAGCCAAAGTTAGTTTTAACGTGCGAATCTGATCATTGGACACAGAGACCGAGTCAGCGCTTGGCTCAAAACTACTCCGTGGCCTCTCGTCTCTTATGTAATAAAGTCAGAATCTTCACGGAGGCCTCCAGACCCACGTCCCACCGCCCCCACCGCCTCCCACCTCGTTCTCTGTGACCAGTCACGCTGGCTGCATTTGTGGCCCCCTCTGCGTGGGATGCTCTTCACGTGACTGGCCTCGCACCACGTGGACAGGCCCCCCCCCTTGGACCCTCTTTAGCCCCGCCCTTCTCTCACGGCACTGGTAACAGCCCTCATTACAGAGCTCAGCTGGCCGGCTGGCCATGCTCCCACCAGGCCATAAGCTCTGCTCAGCCGGCCTGTGTGCCTTCCATTCGCCACCAGCACACTGCCCGGCCCTGGGTACGCATTTGAGAAACACCTTTCAAAACACTTAATGCACAAGAGGTGTCAGAGCTGACACCAGGCCCCCAGAACTGGACTCCCAGGCCAGTGCTCTCCTGATAACACCTGGGACTGGACGCAGGTGGCCCTGGGCTCCCCAGTGGCTGAGGGGAGGGGTGGCCCAGGCCAAGAAGAAGAGCAGAAGGGAAATTCCTCTTGCTTCATTCAGCAGCCATGCTTTTCCAGCTGTTATCTGGGACTTAGTAAAGTTAATCTTTCTTATCACAGAAATAAGGGGCCTCCCCCTGGAGGTGAGCAGAGAAGTATGGGGCCCAGGGCAGGTCCAGAAGGGAGGGGCATCCCGCCCAGGATGATTGCTTCCACTTTATTGCCCTGGAAGACATCAAGGGACATTTATTAAGCACTTACAACATGCCTGGCCCTATGCTAAGCGATTATCTCACTGAATCCACCCTACAAACAGTATTATTTCCTCCACTCAACAGATGAGGAAACTGAGGTGAAAAGATTATGTTACTCCTCGTGGCTCATGTTCAAGTGATGGAGAAGGGTCTGAACCCAGGTCTTCCTCACCCAGGAGATGCGCCCTATGGCAGAAGCACCTGGATCATCTCGGAGACCTGCGGTCCACTGGGGCTGGCAGGACTGGTTCGTCCTCCTCTCTCCCAGAGCTTCCCACCTGAGGAAAGAGGCCACCCTGAGACGGGAGTGGCTTGCCCAAGGTCACACACTGGTCCACTGGCACTGCCAGCCAGCCCTAGGGCTTTCCTTTCCACGATGTCATCTCTGCCGGGAAAGGAAAGGTCTGGGGGGAAGCTCCCCACGAACAGCAGGTGTCCCCCCCCACCCCCCGGGAAGGGCCTGTGCATCAGGGTAATTAATCCAAGTGAAGGGAAAGGGCTGAGGACATGTGAGTTCTACACATGCCATCGTTCCTGTGGTGCATCAAGAGCCTCTTGTCTTGATATTCCTGATAAAGGACAGTCATTCAGAGCAGCTCATTGGTGGAGGAGGGGATCAAAATGATGACGGAGCCACATTTACTCAGTCCTCTAGGTGCCAGGCACTTCAAAGTGGTTTTCGGGCATGGATTCATTCAATCTCCAAGACAATTCTATTATCTTTATCTTCCATAAGGGAACAAGCGACAGCGCAGATAGATCAGGTGATGTGCCCAGGGCCACAGACCTGCTAACAGGAGGAGCCAGGACCCAACCCCGCACTGTCCTCTGCCCATTCCAATAGGAGCAGTTTAGCACCTACTGTGTGCCGAGCCAGGTGCTGGGCACTTGAAAGCAAGTGCTCCGACATGTGCCAGTGCCAACTGCCACCTGACTGAGAACTTTCTAGCCACTTCAGAAGAAAGTCTTAGAGTCACTGTAGGCTCCACGTATTCCATCGTTCAACCTACGACACAGCACACACCGGGGAGCAGGCCCCTGGCATTTCACTTTGCTCCTCAGCAACCCAGGACTTTGGCTTTACCATCCCTATTCCATTGTGTAAACAAGTAAGACCCATGGGAAGGAAGGCAAACTTACCCAAGGCCTTAAACTAGTAAACACCAGGCGTGTTTACTGGACTGCCTCCTCTCTCTTTTGGCCCCGACTTCCTGCCCTTTTCTCTATTTCATTAACTTTATCACGGGCGTCCTCAGGTATGTCTTTGCAAAAAGCCAAGACACATATTTATATCTGTGTCTACACTTAATAAATTAAAAAAGAAAACTAGCCTAGGCCCAGGCACACAGTAAATGTACAAGGAATGTTAATTTTTGTCCCTTACTTGCTCTTGTACCAGGCTCCCTAGTTACACGGCGAATGATGTCAATAATACTGTAATACTTCTGTGTGGTGCCAGATGGGTACCAGACATGGTGATCATTTTGTAAGATGTTTAAATGTCTAACCTCTATGCTGTATGCCTGAAACAAATATAATATTATATGGCAACTATAACTTTTTTTAACAGTATTTGCGGATGAGCCCTTTTCACGTTGCTGGTGTTTTTTAAGTAGATACATTCCTAGAAAGTCAAAAGATATTACTTAAAGCGATGACAGCAGTTATCTGTGTGGTGAGCTTACCAGTGATGTTTGTATTCTTTTGCATTATCTGTATTTTTCACTATGAACACATACTAATTGAATAAAAAGAAAACACAGTCAAAAGTGTTTTTAAAAATCAGCCGAGATTCCTGGTCCTCCAGGCAAAAAGGAAAACACTAAAGAACGTCACTGCACAGGGTGGGTTCTCAGTAAACAAGTCAGTCTGTGGGACTTCCATCTGGAGTCTGGGAGCGGTGGTCTCAGAGCAGAGGACCTGCGGAGAGGACAGCACCTGGCAAGAGCGGCCCCAGCCTTGGCTTGGGAGAGGAGCCCTTCGCTTCCGTGTCCTCTTCCTGTGCCCTTTCCGATCCTTTCCCCACCCAGGGAGGACACCCAGCAGTATCGGATTCCTGCCCAGGGCACTGTTCTGCCACCCCTTGGGACACTGATTAATCCGAAAGGGCCTAGCTCAGCAGAGGAGACAAGCTGGTCACAGTCCTGGGGGTCAGGCAAACAAAACTCAAATTGGGGGCAGACTGCTCAGCTTTGAAGGGGAGACCCTCAGAAACACGGGCCCATAGAGGGGCAGCCTGGCCAGACGGCGAGCCCCTTCAAAGCAGAGTCTGTGTCTCACCTCCCCACCCAGTCCCGAGTGGGAAGGAGCTGTGCGAACATCTGTCACTGAGTGAGCAAGGGTCTAGGAACCCAGCTCCGTATTGGGGGGGGCGGGGGTCGCAAATCTGGGTTTGCAGGGCACCTCCAAGCCGCAACTACACCTTGGCTTCTTCATCGGTAATTTGAAATAATAATGGTATCTACCACACAGAAGTTTAAATGCACGGGACAACAGTGATCATTATAATAACTGGGCATTGTCTATGGGCCTGCCACTGTTTAATGCACTTTAATGTATTAACTCAGTCATTACAATAAATCATATACCGAGTGCCTAATACAGGGTTTGGCACAGTATAAGCACTACATTAATATTATTCCCTCTACCACAATAAAGGAGTCCCTTTTCTGCCCAATAGTTAACTTGGGAGGGAAAAAAAAAAAGGTGGGAGGGGCGAGGAAGAGAGAGAGAGAGAGAAATCCTGGTAGAGACAGGAGAGGGAAGACTAAGGGACTCCCAGAGGTGGATCCTGAATGTGAAAGCGAGGGAGGGGAGGGGAGAGTGTGGTGTGCCAAAAACACGGGTGTCCCTGGAGGAAGCCAGCGTCATCTGGAAGTGGCCACATTTTAAAGAACCGTGTGCGGAGCAAGACGAGTACGTAGGAGGCTATTCCCCGAGCGTGGGAGCCAGGAGAGCACCGAGGCACCCCACACGGCCGCAAGATTCGGGAAAAGGGTTTCCCTTACTGTAGGAAGAAGGCTGGGGAGTCGCAGTGGAAGGCCTGGGTCGGGTCGGGAAGCACTAGAGGAAGCGACCCGCGCTGAGGGGAACCCCTTGGAGCCCGGCGGGGGTCCGGCAGGAACGGAGTCCCATGCGGGAGACGCCCAGCAACTCCTGGACCCTAGGCCCTCAGCGTCGTTCTGGGTCTCTCTAGGCCCTGTGCTCACTCACCTTGCCCCTTTCCAGGGGCAAGCCAGCAGCGCCCGTCGGAGAGCGTGTTGCAACACCATCTTCAGCTCCAGGTGTGGCTAGGCGCGGGGCATTCCGCCCCTAGCGCAGCTGACCGCTCTGCCCCACCCGGAGCGCACTACCTCGGAAAGAGGGGGATTCCGGTCACTCTGGCCGTCCTCTGAGTCAGGTCAATCGAAATACCTCTATATTTACCTGTGTTAATAAGTAGTTTTCTTTTTTAGCGCACGATAGAGGCCATTACGTGACATAGGGCAAGCCCTGAAATATACACATTTCTTCCTCCTCTCTTTATGGTATGACCCAGTTGCTTTCGAAAGGGCCGAGCGATAGGGGGCGTGAGCCCCATCGATCAATCAGAGTGAGAGATGGAAGTACTTGGACCAATCAGAGAGGCGGTTATGTCGTGGGCTTAAACGCCCAGGGGAGAGGGATGAAAGAACCAATGAGAGAGCGGAAAAAGTACAAGTATGGGCGGGGCGTATGGTTCACTGCCTTGGCGTGCCTCTGC